CGATCTAGTCCTGTGGGCACGCGAAGGGAAGAGTGCCGGGGTCGGGAAGAACATGGGGGCCAAAGGGAACGGAGAGGGGGCCCTTAGAGGAGACAAGAGCGAGGGACCTGGAGAGGAGAGGGCAGGACCTAAGAAAGTGGGGGACCCTGAGAGAAGATAGTGGGGGACCCAGACTAGAGAAGGAAGGGGAGGACAGAGGAGGGGAGAGTCTGAGAGAAGAGTCGGGACCTTTAGGGGAGCTGGGGGCGGAGGGAAGGTGCACGGAAATCTGAGAGGAGAGTGGCGCAGGCGACACCCGCCCCCTCATGCATGCACGGGTACTGTACTAGTGGAGAGAAGGGAATGCAGAGCCTACTGATGCCAGCGGGTCTGCACTACATTACTTCTGAGCAAACTGTGCCAGTGTCCCCAACACTAGTCGGTACACCAGCCCACGTGTCTTCCAGGCCACGCCTTTGGGGTCCTGAGATAGAATTCAGGTTCAGATTCTGTTGTACTGCAGCTTTGCACTGTACCAGCAGTTTGAAGTTATGTTCCTTTGGAGGTGTGCTGGGGGGAGTAGGAAGGAGGGGTGGGGAGAGAAGGAGGAACAGCAGTTGGCAAATTTTGTGAGGCCTGAAACATGTGAACCCTAGATGACTTTCTTTGGAGTACAGGAAAACAAAATTAGTTTAAAAAGTAAAAACTCATCAGGGCGGTGGTGGTGCCCGCGTTTAATCCCAGCATTCACGAGGCAGAAGCAGGAAGGTCTCTGTGAGTTTAAGGCCAGCCTGGTCTAGATCGAGTTACAAGACAGTCAAAGCTACACAGAGGAAACCATGTCTTGAAATAAACAACTCACCTTTGTAACACCAATGCTTGGGAAGTGGAGATGGGAGGATCAGAAGTTCAAGGTTCTCTTTAGCTACACAGGAAGTTTCACGTAGACCCAGGACTACATGAAACCCTGCTTGGAGGAGTTATGATTATACAGGGGGCTCCAGTGGTTAAAGGCATTTGCTGCTTTTGCAGAGTACCCAAGAACATCAACTCCGGGGGATTGATGATCTCTGAGGGCACCAGGCACATGTGATTTACAGACACTGTAAAGACAAAATGCCCATACCCATAAAACAAAATGAAACACATACCCATTGGTGGGGGTGAGGGGTGATGTTTTGTCTTTTTTGAGACAGGCTCTGTGCTGGCCTGGAATTCACTATGTAGGCCAGGCTGACCTGGAACTCATAGAGATCTGCCTGCTTCTGCCTTCCAAATGCTGGGATTAAGGGCATGTGCCATCACTCTGGGTGTCAAAAAAAAATACTTTTTAAAATTGGGGAAATGGTTTGGCAGTTAAGAACACTGACTGCTCTTCCAGATGAATTAGGTTCAATTCCCAGCACCCACAAGGTGACTCATAACCATCTATAACTTATCCCAGGGGATCTGATGCCTTCTGGTCATCATAGACATTCATGCAGATAAATTATCCATAAATAAAAGGCTTAAAATTATGGTTTTTTGAAACACAGCCTCACTATGTAACTTTGGCAGGCTTGGAACTTGATATGTAGACCAGGTTAGCCTCAAAAAAATCACAGAGAAGCACCTGTCTCTGCCTCCCAATTACTGATATCAAAGGCTTGCGCAACCACTCCAAGCTAAAAATTTTTAAAATCTTGCCAGGCAGTGGTAGCACACACCTTTACTCCCAGCACTTGGGAGGCAGAGGCAGGCAGATCTCTGTGAGTTCGAGGCCAACCTTGTCTACAAATTGAGTTCCAGGACAGCCTCCAAAGCTACAGAGAAACCCTGTCTCAAAAAACAAAAAAAAAAAAAAAGGAAGAACAAAAGAAAGAAAGAAAGAAAGAGAGGGGGATGGAGGGAGGGAGGAAGATAGGAAGGGAAGAACAAAAGAAAGAAAGAAAGAGAGGGGGATGGAGGGAGGGAGGAAGATAGGAAGAAAAAAGAAAAACATTCATAGTGTAGTAAGTTGTACTTGCATCTTTCAATGAGACAGATTTTTGTCTGCTTTGTGTTTTAGGAACAAGGTCTTACTATGTAGCTCAGTTTGGCCTCCTTTTCTCTAAGCCTCCTGAATATTGGGTATGAAGATGAGTGCCTGGCTGATGAAAGTGTTTCTTTTTCTTTTGTATTTTGTTTAACAATTTATTTATTATGTATACAGTATTCTGCCTGCAGGCCAGAAGAGGGCACCAGATCTCATTACAGATGGTTGTAAGCCACCATGTGGTCTCTGGGAATTGAACTCAGGCCCTCTGAAAGAGTAACCAGTGCTCTTAACTTCTAAGCCATTTCTCCAGCCCTTCTTTTGCATTTTTAATTTTATTTTGTGTGTGCACTCGTGGGTAGAGGACTACACATGAGTAATGTGATGCACTTCTGAGGACAGCTTTTGAGAGCCGTTCCCTTCCACCATGTGGATCCTGGAGATAGAGCTCAGGTCATCAGGCTTGCAGCAGGTATTTTAATCTTCGGAGCCATCTCACCAGCCTGAGAGTCTTAATTCTTTTCAGTTGGGAGCGGTACTAATTTTGTTTAATTCTGTAACTTGGATGATTGATTGGGAAAGACTCACCACTGGCCTGGCATGTGCAAAACCCCTTTTTCCTTCGCTTCTAGCTGAAGTGCCAAGCACTGTAAGGCATCCTTAGAAGACATTCCTGTCCATGAACCATCTTAACACATTCTTCTTCATTGTGCACCACAAATGCACATAGTCATTCCAAACTGTTGGACTCCGAGACAGTGAAATGAGAGAGGGATCCATTAGATACCTAATACAGCTGAAATTTAAAGAATTGTGGTCAAATACTCTTATTTGGTGTTTGACGTGCATGAACACACTAGGAGACATCTCCAAGGCCATGGGTGAACTCTGCAAGAACAGCTGAACCAGGCCCATGGTGTATCTGCTCTGGCTAGCTTGGGCTTGGAGGGACTCTCTTCATCCCTTGTCATTGTTCAAGAGAGCCATTGTCCCACATGGCTCTCATCAGAAATCTAGTCCTGATGTCTCCTGCCCAGTCCTTGCCCCCTACCCTTTAGGCTCAGATAGATGCCACGAGGCTGTCCTCCTTTTCTCTCCGTGGAGTCACTAAGCACTTTCAATCCTAGCTCAGGGGCTTCCAGTGTGTTCCAGGCTCAGAGGTTACTGCTTTGGAGCAAAGCCTCAGCAGCTAGCATGGGGAACTATCTTTCCAGAGACAGTGTAAGTCCTATGTTCACAGTATTTAATATAAGCAGGTTGCTAACATTAGTCATCTAATCATTGTGGGGGACCGAATAATTCTGTTATGGAAATCATCACACATTTCTGTAGCCTACTGGGACACAAATTAAAACTATGATTTATTTATTCCTTTCAGGATATGAGCCCTCTCCAACATCATTTCTCTCCAGCCTAAATACCCACACTCTTCCCCCCCTTTTTTTTAAGTCAGAGAGATAAACATTGGATGTCATCCTCAGTTGCTTTCTACCTAAATGTGTAAGACAATCTCTCACTGAACCTGGGGCTCCACTCGACTGGCTGTCCAGAAAGCCCTAGGGATCTTCCCGTCTCCACCTCCCCAGGACTGGGGAGTTGTAAGTGCCCAGTGCCTGCATGGCTGCTAGTGATCTGAACTCAGGGCCTCAGACTTTTGTGGCAATGGCTTTACTGAATGACCGTCTCTCCAGTCCACCTTCCCTCTTTCCTTCAGTTCTCCCCCTTCCCTACCATTAAGCCAGACCCTAGGACAACATGCATATCTTATGTTAATATATGAGCTTTGTGTTATGTTAATTATATAATAACTTCAAATAATCTTGTGTGGGAAAAGTTAGTATAGAGGATACCATAGCATTACAAAACTGTGGAAAGATTATTGTCTGAGTCAACGATAGGATTGAGATGCAGCTCAGGAAGCCCATTTCTTTTAAAATATATAAATATTTTTATTTATTTTGAGACAGAATACCACTATGTATCTCTGGCTGTCCAGGAACTCACAGTGATTCACCTGCCTCTGCAGCAGGCTTTTTCTTCCACCTTTCTCTGTAGCAGCTTCTAAATTATGACATGGAGACTTATTACTAGTTTTGAATGCCTGGCCAAGCTTAGGCGCATTAAACTGAAACTTAGCTCTTTAAACTGAAATTAACCTGTTTCTCTTTATCTACCTTTTGCTTTGGGGCTTTTTGTTTTTCTTTCCTTCTGTATATCTTACTTTCATGCTTCTTGAGTCTGGCTGGTGGCTGCCTTGCTGGCTGGCCCCAGGTGTCTCCCTTGTTCTCTCTTCTCTTCTTTTGTCCTTCTTGAGCCTAGATTTTTCCTCCTAGATTTATCTCTGTCTGCCATCCCTGCTTATCTCTCTCCTGCCTAGTTATTGGCCATTCAGCTTTTTATTAGACCAATCAGGTGCCTTAAGCAGGCAAGGTGAAACAAATGCAACACATCTTTTCATTGTTAAATACACATCCTTACATCATTAAACAAATGCAACACGCCTTTACACAGTTAAGGTAATAGTCCACAGCATAAACAAATGTAACACACCTTTACACAGTTGAGGTAATAGTCCACAGCATAAACAAATGCAACACACCTTTACACTGTTGAGGTAATAGTCCACAGCATAAACAAATGTAACACATCTTTACATAATTAAATATTCCACAACATGCCTTTGCCTCCCAAGATAGTATTTTCAATTTTGGGTATACGGTACACCGTGTTGTGCACGTTCTATACGGGGATAGCAGTGCCTTTAGAAGCCAGAAGAGGGTGTCAGAGTCCCTGGACCTGGAGTTACAGGCAGCATCATAGTCTACCAATGCAGCTGCTCCTGTTGACCTGGGCTCTGCCTTTGACCTCTTCAGCACAGCAAAATCCCCATACTGTGCTTGGTCTCCACCTCCCTGTGAGGATATTGGACAAGTGTTCTAAACAGAAAGCCAGAGAGAACATAGGCAAACTGACCTGTCCCCCCTCTCTCAGATTCTTAGTTCTGCACCACCTGCTGCCCAATGCTTACAGTGGTTTCTATACCTGTCAGTTCTCTATAATTGTTCATGATGGGCAGTCAGGGACCTGACACTGTGCTGTGTAGTTCTTTCCTGTGGGTTCACATGTTCACTACTATCTTGAAGCAGAGAAGCTGTGATCACCCGTAGGAGACCCTCAGGAGGTTAGAGCTATTGCCATTCCCTCCTGTAGAGACAATGCTAATAGGCCCCTTCTTGATGTATAAGCAGCAAACAATTGCTGGGGAGGAGTTTATTGGTGGAATAACTGCCTGTGAGCTGCCCTTGAGTCACCCACACTCCTGTACATGACCCTAATAAACTCATTGTGCACCAAAATAGACTTGGATAGAATTTTTTCCTTTTCCATTGCTTGCTACCTCTAGGGTGAATGATGGTATTGTGTGAACTTTTCCTGGAAGACATATATTGGTGTCTACTCACAACAAATAAGGTACCAACAAGATATGGAGGTACGATTCCACTAAAGTCCAACTTGGCAGACCATTGAGTTTATTGGGTACTTACAAAGCATAGATGAGTGGTTACTTAGAGGAGAAAATCCCAAAACAGCTATAAAAGTCTCATACATCATGGATGATGACTTCCTTATGGTGGCATAGACGCAGTCTCCCTTTCAGCTAACCTTCCTCATTATATATTCTAGCACCACATGAGAACAAAAGACCACGTCCATCTGGGACAGAGTTACATATATCTGGCAGGCGGGGAAGGAAAGGGGGGATGAGATCTCAGGTCTGTGACCATCCCACCCAGTCCTTCTATACGGGGATAGCAATAGTCCCAATCTTGAGACTCAACCTGTGAATCGTCACAGCTGTTTCTGATGAAGGTGATAATGGCTGCTATGCTTGGAGGATAGCATTCTACAACAATAGGAGCCCCTATGGAGAATGTGATATGGAGGGGCAGAGACACCCAGCTCCCACAGGTGGAAAGGAGTCCCTGGGCTCTCTTGAGAATTGAGATTACAGCTCTGTATCACCATGGACATGTGGCTGCATGGCCTTGGGTAGATTACTCCAGTTTCTAGGTCTGAGTGGGAGCAGAGCTGGTACAGGTGTGTGGGTAACAGTGAGCCTGCCCTGTGGAGTCCCAGTCACCTTTCAGATGCCAAGAAGATCCTATCCACAGCCTTTTTACTGCTCCTACTCCAGTTCCCTCTCTGGCCAGCAGGTGGCAGACTTGTTGTTGCCTGAGAAACTAGGAAGACCTACTCTCTGCCCATCATCTGATACCGAGCCAGTGTGAATGATGGAACTGGGTCCTAGACCACATGGGTCAGAGTTCAGAAATGCTACTGTTATATCTTGTACAGAAGATGGGTCTGTGGTCGTGAGAACCAGGGGTCACCAGGAAATAGACAGAAGCTTTAACCTAAGGCTCTAAGGCCTGAAAAAGACTCAAGCCTTTTTAGGGAGGGTGGTGCTGCCTGGCAAAGGATTGTAGCCAGGCTGGGCCTCTTCAGGAGAGCCTGAGCCCCAGGCCCCATGGAAAGTCAGATGCAATAGCTCACTTCAGTAGTCCCAGCATGCCTACGGCAGATAGGAGGCAGAGACAAGAGAATTGCTAGGAGCTTAGCAGGCAGCTAGCCCAGTCCAAGTTAGCAGTGGCAAACAAGAGAGCCTGTCTCAAGGTGGAAGGTAAGATCTGACCTCCACACACACTGTGGTACATACTATCCTGTCCAATCACCATATTCTACTCCAACAAGCTCTGTCAGCACGTGAGGTCCCAACCTGTTTCAATCTGTCACCTCAGGCATCTTCAGCACAAATGCCACCATGCCCCATGCAGAGCCTAAGACTCTACTAAAGATGGGTTTCTTGGCTGATCCCAGTACTTGCGGAGTGAGCAGATGCTGTGTGGGTCCTCCTCAGTTTGTGCAAGGGACACCCCCAACTTCTGCCTTGCCCTCAGTAGCTGTCTTGCTGGGTAACTTTTGCTTTCTTTTTAGCAGGAAGGAACCCACATGGGAATCCCCTGAGCTGTCCAACAACTACAGTGACTCACCTCTTTCCCAGCCAGTGAGTGAGGTGAGTCCCCAGGATGTCACCCAGTTCTGTGCTGGTGGGTGAGCAGTAGTGACGACAGTTCCCATTCCAGACACCTCCCATCTCTTGACCTGGTCTAACTCTGTACACACTCTACACACCAGTGCCTCCCAAAAAAAAGTGCACACAGAATCTCAAAAGTAGAGAAGTCTAAAGGGACACATTTGCAGTGGCAGCATTGGCGCGGTAGGCTATAGTTAAGGTTGCTATGGTAATGTCAATTTCTGTTTCGGCTGCCATTAAGGGCAGTGGGCAGTGTCTTGCTGGTGAAATCTTTGGTGGATGTGGGTGAGGCGAGGCCTGGAGGATGGAGCAGACACGCATTTTGCCCTCAGGGAGCAGATGTTCTGCTGTAGATGAGCCTACTTTCTCTCAGGCTAGGCTGCCAGCTTCTCAGGACACCCTCCGGCCTCACAGGAGCTGCCTGGAGGAAATACCTCTTTACACTGATAGAGCTGAGTTTGGGATCTTGAAGTTCCTGCAGGTGAGGACTCACTAGTGTGAGCAAGCCCCAGGGCTCCTTGGGGCAAACAGGCTCTAGGAAGACCCAGTGGCTGCCTGAGCTTTATCAGAAGAGGACAACCTTACTGTCATATTGGTGGAATTCCTGATTCAGTCAGGGGAATTCCAACTCCTAAGGAAGTAAGAGTACAGTCAGTATGGCTGGAGTAGTAGCCCTGGCTTTAAGAAGTTTTCACAGACACAGGGGATCTCCTCGTTAGTTAGCAAGATCTCACCTGGACTCCCCTCAGCTCCTAGTAGCTACTGTAGCTACTAGGGTCAGAGCCTGTTCTGGCACCCCTAGTCAGACACACTTGGTCACTTGCCCTCAATAAGCCAATCAAAGAGAAAAATCACCAGTGAAAAGCAAAAAAAGATTTATTCAATGTGGCCATATTAGAAAGAAAGGCAGATTCAATAACACAGCCTCCTCCATGTCTACCTTCAGGGTCCTGCATGAACTTTAACTTCAAGTAGAGGCCAGAATTATGCATCACTAAGTAGGCTGGGTCAAAGTGTGGTCCTGCCCCTCACTGATCCGTCTCATCGTCTCGGCTTCAGTCTGCCCTGCAAGATGTCCTGAAGTTGCAAATCTCTTCCCAGCAGACAAGTTTCTCCTTTGGTTGGCCTAGGTTTCAGCCTTTTCCCTTCTCCTGCATGAGATTCCTGGAGCATATGTCTCAATTTCATGGGGTGCATTATTTCAAGAGTCTAATAGCCAAAGAGAAGGGCAGAATTATCTCTCAAAGTCAGTTATAGGATGAATGCAGACGAGACTCAGAGTATAGCGCCCAGGTGTTCATCCTTTTGACATCTACAAGTGTTGGGATGCATTTATGGTCATCCTGGGATACACGCTGCAGGTTGGACATACCTGGTGCAGAAGATGGGTGAAATCGAATTATTCTGTGAGTATACATATATGCGTGTGGTGTTACGTATACATGGCTTGTGTGTGTGTAATTAAATAATGCATAAATATCTGCTCTCCTTCCATGATGTGGACCCCAGGATCGAACTCGGGTCATCAGGCTTGGTGGCAAGTGACTTTATCCACTGACCTCCAAAGCACAAGGTATGTTCTAGGAGCGCGTATGATCCAGGAGGGTTTACTCCGACCCGGGGGCGGCTCACGTCAGTCCCTGGGCGACTTTGCTAGGAAGCCGGGAAACAAGTTTAGTACCACACCGCGCGGCGCGGGCCAATCGTCGCTCGCTGCGGCTCGCTGCGGCTCCCTGCTCGCTCCCGGTAGGCTGCTGTTTCCGTCCGTCAGAGG